GGGGGGGTGCTAGATGTCGGTTTATCTCTTATACGCACAAAAACTAGAACACCCTTCTCGGCGGCCAGGAGCGCAACCTCGTCGAGGCTCTCCTTGCTCAGCGAGCTGAGCTGCACGCCCCGGATCTCGAGACCGACCCTGGGCGTGATATTCGTGATGGCCGCTCCGCTCTTCCGCAGGGTCGGCGTGGAGGGATCGGCGCGGGTGCCGGGCTCGTCGCCCTCGAACGGCGGCACGGGCGTGGGTTCCGAGAACCCGTCTGGGCGGGTAGGCAGGTATGCGGGGTACAACGGTTCCGAGGGCATGATGGGAAAAAGGAGTGCTACGTAGTTAATTACAGAAAAGGGGGGGGGGAAACTGGCTATGACGTCGGCCTGGGCGTTGTTTGTCTGGTTGGTTGTGAGAACTTGGCTTGGTTCAATAATCACAGGAGTTGGTTCAATAATCATAAAAGATATTCCATAGAATATATCAGGACGACGATCGGTGCCCGCAGCCTGTTTATTGTATTGTATCCTGCGGGCCGCAGAGGAGTCATTTCCCCTCACGGCTCTTGCGCACCACCTCTCTTCCTCTGACGAGTTCGATATCGGCGCTCGGCGGACCCGCTTCTGGTCTGATTCGGGAAACGTGCCGCTTTCGTGATCGGTTGCCGGCCCCACCCCGAATTACTAGAGAATATCATCATCTGCAGGGTTGAAGACGACATCGGTGCATGCATTTTCTTGAAATGCTTACACGAGTTTGTTAACTTGGCCAACCGAGCTCTAATTACAGGTCCCTCATTGGCTTATCTGAAGTAAGATTTTGCTCCTCAGTAGCAGAGGTCGTGGTCATCTCTTCCCCACCTCTAGACACTATTGGAGAGGATCCGTAATCGCCGCACTCTCAGTCTTTCTTTACCCCTTCGTAATCGGCTCCTGGATCGGTTAATCTTCTCTTATAGCTATGTAAACGAAATATATGGGATTGATCTCGCCATCACAGTTTTTATCTCGCCAAGAGCCGGCGCTCATCGATGTAACCTACTCGCGTGTGGTGCCGTGTGGGCTGATTAGTATAATTATGAGGTTTTGCTTGTTCGTTTTCGAACAAACTTTCTGATAGTTCTCGCGGCGTATCAATCACTTCGCGCATCTCGCTCCCATAGCAGCTAGCTAGCTTCCTTGTATAGCCACCCACATCACCCGGGCTTTCCCCTTGGGATCGGCAACATGTCGCCGACGGCGAGTCTGAAGAAAGCTTCCACCAGCTCCGAGACGCCCCAGGACCAAGACCAGGGCCAAGACTTTGTCGAGTCGACATCATGGCTCGCAAAGATACACCCCTACTTCAAGGACCCGTCGCACGTCCTGGTCCTCAAGCTTGACGTCCTCCTCCTCTTCTGGGCCTTCTTCGCCGGCCTCTTCAAGGACATGGACCAGAGCGCCACGACAGCCGCCTACGTCTCGGGAATGAAGGAGGACCTGCACCTGTATGGCAACGAGCTGGTCGAGTTCACAACCTACTTCTCCATCGGCTACGCCCTCTTCATCGTCCCCTCGCAGATCATCCAGACCCGCGTCCGGCCCTCGGTCTTCCTCCCCGCGTGCGAGGTCATCTGGGGCCTCCTCACTCTCTTCACCTACAAGGCGCGCAGCGCGAAAGCCATCTTTGCCCTCCGCTTCTTCCTCGGCGTCTTCGAGTCCACTTCTTGGCCCGGGATCGTTGCCCTCATCTTCAACTGGTACCGCCCGGAGGAGCTCGGCAAGCGCGTCGCCATCTTCGGCGCCAGCGGCGTCGCGGGCAACATGTTCCTCGGCATCGTCCAGGCCTCGCTGTACAAGAACCTGAACGGCGCGCTGGGGCTCGCGGGGTGGCAGTGGCTCTTCATCGTCTCGGGCGCCATGACGGTGGCGTGGGGCCTCGTCGGCGCCCTCATCGTCCCGGACTCCCCCGCCATCACGCGCGCGCTGTGGCTCAACGAGCGGGAGAGGGCGCTGGCCCGCTCGCGCATGAGCGATAGCGGCACCAGCACCGCGGAGCTCATCCCTCTCAGGACACTCGTGCGGAAGCTGAGGCTCCTGGTCCGGAGCCCGCTGTCGTACCTCTTCCTCGCCGCGTACCTCCAGTTCGCGTGGAGCCAGCGCGCCAACGCATACTTCCTCCTCTTCCTCAAGGGCCTCGAGAAGGCCGACGGCACGCCGCGGTACTCGGTCTACACCGTCAACCTCATCCCGCTGGGCGGCTACGCGCTGAGCATCGTCTTCACCATCGGCCTCAACGCCGTCAGCGACTGGACGAGGTGGCGGTGGCAGGTCGCGTCCGGGGCGGCGGCCGTGCAGCTCCTGGCGACGTCGGTGCTGATCGGCTGGCCCCGGCAGTGGGAGGTCGTCATGACCTTCTACTTCCTGACCTTCACCACAGCGGCGTGGGGGTACTGCCTCGTGGCATGGCTGGCCGAGATCCTGCGCAAGGAGCCAGAGGTCCGGTCCATTCTCGTGGCGACCGCCGTCATGCTCGTGTACACCGGCCACGCCACCATCCCGCTCCGGGCGTGGCGGGTGAGCGACTCGCCGCGGTACCCGATCGGGTTCGGCCTCGCGGCGGCGTTCGCGGCGGGGAGCATCCTGGGCATCCTTGGGATGCGGTATTACATCAACAAGTACCCGAACATTGCCGCGTGGGGATTGGAGCAGGACAAGGAAGGGGCGGCGGAGGAGGGCGTTTTGGAAAGTGAGAACGAGGGCGGGGCTGAAAAGACCAAGGTCTCTAACTAAAGACTAATAATAGCTGCATGTAATGAATGAATTTCCTGTCTCTACTCATGTCCCCGCGGCCGTGTAAGTGGTTGTGTATTAGCGTTAGTGGCTTTTGGGTGCCAGCCAATGTGGGCTATTATTATGTGTATACCTGCCCCTTAAACTACGTCCTCCCTATGATGATGTTTAACAGTTGCCCGCTAGGGTTTGAAGGTAAGCAAGCACCTCTCTGCCATCTATTAGACGCGCAACTCATATCTCACACTCTCTCAGGTGATCTGGAGTGAATGGATGGAACAGTGTGTGTCTACGCCACGGCATGACACTTCCGGTGCAGGCCTGTCCTACCCCGCAGATCGGTGGGGGTGGCCTGCATCTCCAAAAGTACTTCGCCGTATGTGCCATCCACCGATATGCACATCCAGACCACAACTTTTCCGGCTGAAGCAGGAATGACAGAAAACCGTTCGCAGTCCTACCCTCCCATTCCATCCATAAACAGCCCAGTTATTACTCATTCTTCTCCTCTCCCCCCGCCCCCTCCCAAGCAGGTCTAAACCGTAGCATTCGACAAAAAAGAGGGAAAAAAAAAATAAACTGAGAACCGGATAACTCTCTCTCGGGGAATCGAACCCCGGCCACCTGCGAAACTAGCGCGCTGTCTGTATGACAGGCAGGTATCCTTACCACTAGACCAAGAAAGACGGCGGGTCTCCGCTTGTTGAAGAATACTGTTGGTGGTCGGGCCCCAAGGAGCTTTGTGCATACATAGCTGTGAAATACTCAACTCAGGTTCTACTAAGACAATACACTGTATTATTGAACTCCATCCGAAAAGGGAAGTCCCATCCGAATGAAAGCTGCCAAACTAACTCCCCCCAAAAACATCGTGTCCAAACGAAAGCCTTCAGTGACTTTTCGCTCTAATGGCAACAGCTCGCAAATCACCACTTCCCGTCCACCCCTTTCCATCCCCCCGAGTCAACGGCCGATTAGGCGAACGGTAGCCACGGGTGATTAAGATCTGGAAATCACACAAGCCTTCCCTTCGCAATCGATCCCGGCGTCAAGCATAAGCTCCGAGATGTCAGACTTGAGGCTCCCTGCCGCCTCTGGCCCCACATTTACATCCGCCTCCGCCCTCCGCGTCCGACCACCCGGACTTCCCACCCCCTACCTTCCCGGATACATCCCCGGTCTCGTACGCAAACTAACAAGTAGCTTCCCGGAGCTCCCACATTCGTGCATGCAAACCCAGTAGAGACCAGTAATGGGCAATGAGACAAGATACGTGTGTGGATATCTTTTGGTATTTCTATATTCGCGCCCGGGAAGTGTCCCGAGCAGGATACACGACACAGCCCACTCTCGTGCCAAACCGATGCCCCTCCCTCCGCAGCACGGCTACTGTAGAGCCGTGATGCTGCCAAAGACATCCGCCCCCTGACGTCCACCAAGCCAACCTCAATCCCTCGTATCGTTCTTCCTCCAAATGGTATTCGAGTAGTAAATGTACATCAATCTTCTCCCCGCCATCGCATTTTGACCCCATCTCTCATCTCCCATCTCCCACTTTAATCATAACCGCAGGCCAGTCCAGTGACGATTCCCCTCTATTAATCCAACACCCGTCCCAATAAAGAATATGCCCCCAAACAAGGCGCCAGCGGCAGCATGTTCAGCTGCCATGTAACACAAAGCAAAAAAAAAGAAAACAAATCTTCCATCCGCGCCTGTAAATGATGATGCCCATTATCGTTATCACATGGTGATCCTCAATTGCTCCCCCATCAATTCGTCAAACACACCACTGGGAAAATGAAATAGACAAAGGAAAAGAAAAAAAATGCCTGAAGAGGCGTCGCTTCGTAAGCTGCGTCTTGCATAAAGGGAATACAAGTAAAGGAGTGTGAAAAAAAGTTGGGTATCTCGGTGCGTCAAAACATGTCGGTCTATGCTGCGTATGCGTCCATCGCAAGAAAATCGCTCAGGCCGTAGCCGTTTTTGGTACTCTTCTTCGTCCTCGGGATTTTGGTTCTGTCCTCCCTCTGTCCGTGGCTTCATCCCAAGGGTGGTGTTCTGCCCCCTTCCTGCCGGTAGCTCGGTCTCGCGGCTGTTTCGTCCGTTCAAGGTTCCATCTCGAGGGTAGTAGACGCGTTGTCGGTCCCTCACCTCCGGAACCCACCAACCCTGTCTATCAGATTCCTCCACAGCCTAGCACCCCGACCGTCGTGGCTAGACGTCCTGGCGTGGACCATCACCTCCTCCCGCACCATCGGCCCGACGATGTCTTCGTCCCCGCAAGAGGGGAACTTGTCGTCCTCGCGTAGCATCCGTGGCAGGGCGGCGGGTCCGCTCTCCTCTATCCGTCTCCACTCCATTCCTGCAAATACCCCGCCTTCGGTAGCTGAGCGTCCTCGTCCCGAGGCACTGCTAACTGCCCGACCCCGACCACGTCCGCGGCTCCGGCTCCTGATGCCGGGATATTGTTGATGCTGCTGCTGCTCCGGCAGCGGCGGTAGGGGGGAATCGGCAGCCGCGAGGATCCGCTCCATGGTCTCGTCGTGCATGCGCCTCCAGGTTGCCTCCACCTCGGCCCACTTCTCCTGCGTGAGGGCGTAGATCTTGCTCGTCTCGCCATAGTTCTCGCCCGTGCGGAAGAGGTGCTTCGCATAGTTGATGCGCGCGAGGTCTAGGTCGGCGCGGAGCTTCTTCAGCGCGGAGAGCGTGACGTCCTCGGGCTGATACGGGATCGGTAGGATGGTGAAGTTCGCGTGGCCGAGGCGGTCGGACCACTCGTCGTCGTTGAGGAGGTTGGGGAATGGGATGGGGAGCTCGGGGCTTGTAGGCGAGAGCCGGAAAGACACGACCGAGGCCTTCGTCCTCAGGGACGGGGCCGGATTGTGCGGTGGGAGGGGTTGTCCATACCGGTCCGATAGAGAGGGGGGCAATGCAAAGGGCGGAGATGAAGACAGTCGGCCAGTGGGCGTCTTTGTGTCGGTGACCAGAGGCGGGAGGAGGGGTGTGGTGGCCAAGCGCCTGTCGCGTTCCAAATCTTGGCTCGAGTCGCCCCTGTCGGCTTCGACCGCCGGGAGAATGACACTTTCGACGGAGTCCCAGAAGGAGTGTCGTGGAGAGGCGGAGATGGTAGCGTCGGAGGTGTGGGGGTAGCTCGGCCTCAGCGGGGAGCCGATCGAAGAAGACCTAGACCGCAGGGATGGGGCGTGAGAGACAGGGGCGCTAGCGTCGCCGCTGAGTCCGGACACCGAGAGGGCGGAGAGGCTGTTCTTCCTCGAGCCTTTCCAGCGACCGAGTCCGGGAAATCGGTATCCGATTCGAGAGGTGAAGCCCGAGAGCGAAGACTCGGCAGACCCAATCCGGAAATTCCTCCTCTCGCGAGTACCAGCTAGATCGGTCTCGCTCAAAAATCCGAGGTCATAGTCGAACTCGAACCCGTTCGCGGCTGGCCGCTCGAGCATGTTGGGGGTGGAACGGTGGACGCAGAAAGGTCCGTCGCCTATGATAAGAAGAAAGTTAGCACGGGCCGTGGGCTAATGCGACTTGCGCTGGTGGTGGCTAATAGGACGGGGGGCCGTTCCGGGGTTTACTAACAGAGGCAGTCGTAGAGTCCGTCCAGGATATCCGGGTCGTCGCGTTCGCACGGCTCCTCCTCGACGTCGGGTAGTTGTCGCTGGCATGATTTGATCGAATGCGCGGCCTGCGATGGCGAGGTCGGGCTGTCCATCAGGTTGAACGGGAGGTCGAGCGATGAGGCGGAGCTCGAACATCGAAGATGGCCGCGGGCCGAAAAGGTAGGCGTGATGGGGGAGCCAACATCGGAAGAGGACGAGTTCGTCGCGTCATAGAGGTGTATGAGGTCGCCGTCCAACTGTTGTGATTCCAGTCTCCTCCGTCGCTCGACAAGTTGTGGAAGGATCAATGGCCTTAAGTCGGGCGACATTGTAAACATTGTGTGAGAGCGAAATACTGGGCGGAGCTAGCGGCGAAGTTGAGCTTCCGGGTTTGTGGTGATATTGGCGGGTAGACCGCCGACTTTGTTCCAAGCCAAAAATAAGACGGTCGCGATTGTCGCGTCGTCCTTTGTGGCTTTGAGAGGGAGCTCTCAAAGGTGAATAACGCTTAAACGATGGAAATCGCCGGTGAGTGGGCGTGGCGTGGTGGGGGCGGGGAAGAAGCGAGCTTGTTTGCGCGACAAGTCGGGAAGGAGGGGGGGAGTGTTGCAGGCGAGACCGGATTGTGCTTATTATTATGACGTCCGAATTCGTCGAGCACCGACGTTTGCGTCCAGAAGCAGGCGAGGAGGGTGTGACCCAGTTACATGGACATCCCAAATTCGTATCCGGCAGTGTTCATTCCATGAATTGGTTAAGGCTCCCGTTCGGTTTTCAGCCCTCTGTTAGAATTGCCAAATCCTCTCAGAGAGATTTCCCCCTCCTTGGAATTACCAATCGGAGAGGGAACGGCCGCGGTGGAGAGAAGAGGGCCTCGGGGGAAAACGGTCGGGGCCGTCCACGTGTACCAAGGAGTGCCGGTCGAGCAGTGTCGAGGTGGTAGTTGGGCCGTAGTACAGGTTAATCGCGCGGGTGGCCGGTCTCCTCTGGCGTGGGGGAAAGGCGAGGGGAGAGAGGACAAGAGGAAGAGGCAGTGGTTGTTCTTCACCAACCACCAATCGCTGGAGCGTTGGCGCCCTTAATAGTTGGCCGTCCTCCGGCTGCTCTGGGCGAGTCTGCTGGTGGGGCCGGGCCCGCCCAGATAGCGGAGTGAGTTGGCAAGTGATGGCCCGTGAGGTCGTGAGGTCGACAAGGCATGGGCGGGTGCCAGCGTTTGCGTTGGGACGAGGAGGAGGGTTGGGAGAAAGGAATTGAGACTAAAGCACGGAAAATGGAAAAGAGGAAAAAAAGACTAGGTTCAACGGCGGTGAGCGAAGTGCAAGTACGACGAGTCCACGAACAAGTAGGTTCCGAGCTAGTTAGTCTTTTTGGAGGGGAAGCGACTATTTTTACGTGGTCGGGTGCGGCAGGGAACGAATGGCTGGGAAGGCAGGATTGACTGGGTCTGGGTGGGATAGATGGTGGAGCCGGTGGTAATAATAGGTGGTTATAGGTGGTATTGGGAAGGAGACGGAGCATTGGAGAGGGCAGGCAGGCACAAGCCATGCCGAAGGAAGGAAGCAGCGGGGGCGGTGGCAAGGAGGTTCCTTCCCCGGTTCATCCCAACCATCATGCGGGAACTAGTTTTGCTTTGGGGTGGGGACGTTCGCCGCTGCTCACTGGACGAGGAGCGCTGCCAACGACGCCGACCGCCCGACGGGGTAGCGTTTTGTCTCTGGTCAACTCAAAAGGAGGGGCGGGACAGGCGGACCGCTCGTCTTTCCAAGGGCGAGTATGGGCGGTGCCTGGTGCCTTCTCGTGGGTGGCGCAACCGAACCACTGCCGCTGTAGAAGCATGTCGCAATGTCGTGGTCGTTTTTCTTCTCCCTCTCTCTCTTTCTTCTTTCGCTTTTCTTTTCTTTTCTGAGTTCTTTTTTCTTTCTTTTAATATTTTGCATTTCCTATTCATTCTTTCTTTTTCCATTCTTGCTTTCTTTCTTTCTTATTTTCCTCGCATCTTTACTTGTATGTGATATCTGCTTTGGTCTCGTTTGTTGTCCGAGGTACTTCTCCTCACACTATTTGTTTATTCG